GTAGCAGTTTGACTGCTGCTGCCATGTTTCTTAAAGCCAGAAGAATGAGTGCTATGTCATCAGCAAACACTGTTGAACCTGGTTAACAAACCGCATTCATGAACTACTTTGTGCATACATATATAGGCTAATTAGTTCAAAGTTACAGGCAAATAAAATACTGGCATGTCACTCAGCACAACTGAAGAACAAGCTGCAGTAGGTTAGGGTGCTGGGGTTCTTCTTCACTCACTTGGTGCTTATGCACCTCTCTGCATTTAATCATTAGTTATTATTAACCCCTTAGCAGTCCAATTAGTCCCCTAAACCATCCAATGTACCGTGGGCGGTACGTCCGACTGCTAACAGGTTAATCTCTGGCTCTCTTCCACACCGTGTCTTTGTCCTGTCTCCTTCCCCTCACCCCCAACCAGTTGCAGTAGATGGCCCCGCCTCTCCCTGAGCCCAGTTCTGCTGGAGGTTTCTTCCTGTTAAAAGGGAGTTTTTCCTTCCCACAAACACCAAGTGCCTGTTCGAGGTCTGTCTGATTATTGGAGTTTACGCTGCATTATTGTAGTTTCCTTGTGAAAGCACTGATAGCACGAACATGGCAGAGAGTCTGTGCTCCTGTTATGAAGGAGGAATCTGCAAAGATTTTTGCCAGTTTTTTGCTCCCTTTTGGAGCGAGCCCCTTGTGGCATCTAAGGGAACTGCAGTTTGTGGCCCTTCAACTTTGGTTTCGCTATCAGCCTCTTGGAATTGATGTTTTCAATCAAATAACAGAAAACTAAATTCAGTTATGACATTATTGATCATTTAGTTTATCCTCCAGTGCTCTCCGGCTGCACTGTACCTACTAAAGCGTATTAGCTGTGACTACAAATAAGCAGGTCTTTTCACATGTTTCTTCCACAAATGGCCGCCACCTTCACCCTCGTCACTCTGGCACGCTTTGTTCCTGACTAATCTGGCTTTGAGTAGTTGAAGTTTTCACGGTATGCTCTGATAAAAACACTACTGTAGCTGTAGAGAGCTTGTTGTCGTGCTTTCCAGACCCAGGTTCTAGTGTCTTGAACTGGATCAAGTAACACAGTTTCATTATATCAGGATAAAAACCTCGAGATCTCAATTTCAAGAGTCCAAACAAGCTAACATAGACGAGCCCAGTGAATTTGAGTAATTACACGTAAAAGACTCCTGCACACTCCTGATGAGGGTTTGCCTATTGAATGTCTACAGGCTGAAATGTTGTGTTTCTGATATATTAAGACAGAGGTAAAAGGGCAGCGTACAGGGCTCATGTCCTCCTGCCTATGCGCACTTCCTCCCACGCTTCGTCTGAAAGAAGCCGAAGGAGTGCGTGAGCCGTTAAAGTCGAGAATAATTACTACACTGGTCCTTCAATGCACTCAGAGGGAGGTGATGAGAGGAATAACTTTATAAACTGCTGCCAGCGTGCCGAGTGTGAATCCGCAAGTTCAAGTCTCCTGAAAAGTGTGTATTTTCTACACAACTATGAAAATTTACCAACAACACTTTTCAAGAGGATTTGATGCCATCTTAGACATGATGAATAATCTAGTCTAGCTGAAAATTGGCTTCATATGCTTTCATCCTTTTTTGGACTCAGACTTCAGCTCCGCCCACTGACATTTATCTGAAAGACTTCATCTTCTTCTCTGCTTCCACATCAGCTCTGCAGCATGTACCGACTCCATCTATCGCTCCGCTATCTCCTCCATCGCCTCTTTTAAACTCTTCTTTAACAATCTGTCTGTGTATGAGATCCTCGCCTCCCCTGCGGCTTTGCCTACGCTGCATCTTCATTATTAGACGGAGCTTCACTGTGTTCCTCCTCTCCTCACCACAAGCCTATTAGGGATTTCCCATTTTATTTATTGATTAATACATCATCAAGTGGAGCTCCGGCAGCAGCCAAGGGACAATAGTGAGGTTCCCCTGCTTTCTGCAGCCTTCATCCCAGCTGCCCACTTAAGATTCTGGACTTGTCTTGCCTGTTAGACAATGATCGCTATTATTCTTTTCTTTCTAGGCAGCGCTTCTAAGAGAGGGTGGCTGCGTTCTCGCCGTGGCTTATGTGAGAATTAAAGGGGAAAAGACAAATATATATATATATATAGATATCAGAATGAGAAATGTAGAAATTACCAGGCTTACAAATGTGAATTTGGAGTGCGGATGTATTTGGAGCTTAACCTTCTTCATGGGCATATAAAAGGATTTTTAACCTCTTTTAATAATAAACGCACCTTGCATTTTCTTATCAAAGGCGCAGTACTGTGAAGCTCCTGGATGTAACATCAAAGCATGAAGTATTCCCCCAACCTACAAAATCAGTCTCACCACAAACAAGCAGGCAAAGAGAATGGGATCAGTGTGGCTGCGAGGAGAGGGAGGACGAGGGGCGAAAAGAAAGTGGAGCTTTGTAGGAGAAGCTTTGTGAGGCTTTTTCCTCCCTCGCTGTCAGGCCACAGAACATTAAAGTGGAGGAGAGGAATTTGCATTCTGTAAATCGCTCGCTCTTGAACTCACATGGTGAGTCTTGCGCGCGCACGCTCCCCTCTCGGTCTCGAGTCGCTGAAACTTGGGCAGCTGTGATGTTTCAATCCAAAATGAAAGAGAAAAGAATATGAATGCACATGAGTAACTACAACAAACAGGCTCATAAAGTGAAGTGTGCAGAAGCTACACCCACCAAAAGGCAGCGCCAAAAATATTATTAGCTTCACAGAGAGAGAACAAAATATGGAAAATTTGCACTACACCAGTGCTTATCGTGACCTCCCTTTGCCTCTGAAACTGGAGTGCTTCTCCCAGAAACACTCGCCATGGTTGTAAAGTGGATTTCAACTTTCTCTGTGTCTTCTGTCTCTGTCTCCTAACACAGTCTGATGTGAGATGATGTTGAGATGAGCGTGGACCGTATGTCTGTCATGGGAAGTTCATTATGACCCTGAACATATGTATGGGCTTGTTATCTTGCTGCAAAATTAATTTTCAATTCATTCCTGATGTTACAACTATCACAAATATGTCTGAGTAAAATGGAACAGCAGCACAAGCAGCACGTTCTGACCTGCTGTCACACTCAGTGTCACACTGCAGCGCAGTGTGCACGCCTGTAGCACTGCTGTACAACATGAGACAGAGTTCAATCTGAAGGAGATGCAATGAGACAGCAGGCAAAAGGGCCGCTAAGGGTCGCAGAATGTGTTACTGCTGCAAATGAATCTGTGGTGAAGAGTTCTGCAGATGGGACAATTTGCCTCACAGCCAAGACTGCTGGAAGTCAAGGGGCCAAGGGGCTGTTTGCCCCTCCACTTTTTGGCTCTGTCTTTTTAGCTTAGCTTGTGTCAGTTTGAGCTTTTTTTACGATTTTGCTTCAAAATCTTTCCACATTTTTAGAACTCTGTCAGTGAGTGTGACTCACCAATTAGCAGCAGTGACTCAGGCTGTAATTGATTGGATTTTGAAACTAATAGCAAGTTTATTTTTGGCCCACCGACATCTGACATGACACTGGAGACTCCAGCAGAAAAATGTAAATTTGCAAAATGGAGTTAATTTGAACCAAATAAAGAAAGAAAAGAACCGTGCACAATTATGGTTTTGTCCAGCGCCTTGTTCTGACATCCTGTGTGAGTCACATGACCTGGCCTCAAGCGGAGCATTTCACCATCACCATCCTGGTGTTTTGGAACTGGACACGAGTGCAGATCCGACTGAGAAACCAAGGGATGCTGAACAACTTTTAACTGTTTTACTTTCCATTTTTATTCTAATGAGGACTGTAATTAAAAAACAAATCCATAATGTTTTACTGAATAAGACCTGAAACTAATAAATGAGACCAAGAACTCATCAGGTCATCAAAGCTGAGGTCATAGATTAAGGTCGCCATGTTTGGATAGATTTCTATGTCCTCCTGAGGCCTTCCCTGTTTTTCATTAGAACGAATGGCTTTCTCCTGACCATACAGGCTTATTAGTTTTAGACCTACAAGCTATCTTTTATATATCTATTATATTCAGTCAAGATCCACTGAGGCTGCTGGTCGGCTCAGTCCTGTCTGTCTCAGGTTTTCTCCAAGTACTCGGGCGTCTTCCTTTAGTGTAAAGTACACTGGTGGTGACCCACCTATAGCTTGGTGTCAGCTGGGCTGTATTCCAGTGTCCTAGCAATCAGATAAGAAAGCAGTTTGGGTGGATGCATGGATGTAGTTCTATGTAATAATACAATAATTCATTCGGTACTTTGGAAAAGGGATTATTGTGCTCTAGGGTGGAGTGCTGGGTGTTTTTCACATTTTTCTGACACTTACTTTACCTTCTAATTGTAGATAAAGTACATAATAACAGAAAAATTATAATAAGCACTTAATTAATTAGACTAATTAAATAAATGGATCAAATATCTGCAGTTACCTTAGGCTTGAACAGAAGTGTGTTAGTGTGTAAGAAATCTGAGAAACCTCTTCTGGCTTCCTGTGCAGATATCCAGACCAACACTTCCTGCTCCGTGTATTGTTCATTGTTTACGAACATTGATCTTTTTTTTAAGCGTAACTAAAAGTTAAATTGTTACCAGATGAAAGCTGATACGTTAGAGTTCCGAGTCCTCTGTTCGAGTCCTCACATGAACAGTTTGACAGAGGTTGATCTCTGGGTGGTCTACAAATGGAAAAAGTTCCAGTGCATGGCATTTTCTTCCCTGCCTGCAGATTCTATAAATGCATATAAATATACTTACTAAGTTGATTCTTATTCTAATGACTGGTGGAAAAGTGAAAGTGTGCAGACTGCAGACACAGAAAATCCCAACTCGCTCCATGTATTTGCTCATAAAACACAACAGGGGCAGAACTCTAGATGTAGACAAGGAGGGGTCGTCATGACAACACAACACTCTCAGGCAAGCCCCGCCTCTTTAAACTTCATACCCACATGTGTCTCTGTTTCTAAATCTGGAAGGAAAGAAGGCAGGGCTGCAGCTCACAGACAGAGGGCTGGAGTAACAGGACTCTCCACAGCAGAGCAGCAGCTGCAAAAAAAAAGTAAAAGAAAGAAAAGAGGGAGACAGCTGGGTCACGGGAGTCCACCACGCGTTCAGGAAGCGGCTCACAGCTCGGGGACGCGGCCAAAAGAGGCGGGCATTGGTTTGTTATTGGAAAAGCTGACAAGTGAGCAAGGCAGCAGGGAGGGGACAGAAAGAAAGAGGGGTGGCTGTCTGACTTGGTCAGTGAAGGCCTCATTCAGCTTCTTAGCAGCAGCTCCATTCCATTTTTATCTGCTTGACACACCTCGACTTGAAGCAGAGCTCAACAGGAGCCCAGGAGGAAAGAGTTGGACTAAAGAGAGGAATAACAAACAAGAAGGGGGGGAAGGAAGCATGGTAAGTTTGCTTTCACTGCCTTGTTGGGTCTGCTCATTGACTGTGGTTGTCGGTGTGGCTTTGGTGGGTGGGGAGGTGGACTGAGCTTTGATTGCTGCAAGCTGCCTGCTTTAAAAAAAAAAAGAGAGCAAATTAAAGTTGCAGTTAGTCCCTTTTACTTTGCTTCTTTCTCCTGGGGGGAGATGGAAGAAAACTGCTTTTTTTTTTCTTCCACTTGGTGCTCACTGGCCTGGGAAAAAAAGCAAAACATTATAACTGCTTTATAAATGCAGAGCCCCTGAGACTGACACGATTTAATTCAGTTATTTGTTGTGAACAGAAAAGTTGGAAGAAACTTTCCCCCCCCCCTATTTCTAGATGAAATTGAAAGAAAAGTTGTTTCCAAGACTGTAAATCTCACCTCTGGTCTATAATCTTTGGGTATAGAGAAGCAGAGGAGGAGGAGGCGGGTGAGTGGGTGGGCTGATCTGCCCCCCTCCACCTCTCTGTATCAGTGTCAGCAACACATTTGGTTTCAATTACTTTGGACCTCTGGGGAACAAGATGCTATAAATAAGTAAGAAGAAGGTGGATGTGGACAGACTGCAGGCTACTGTGTGTCTCTGAGGAGGAGGAGGCACATGCTTCAACACGGACTCCGGTTCAGCTCTGGTTGGGACGGATGAGTGTGTGGATTCAGTTGTGGTGACGGGGGCGTGTGTGTTGGTGGGGGAATGAGGGGAGTGAGGGTCTTGTTCGTCACATAGCTCAGTGGGCAAAAGTCATGTCTGTTTTTAAATCATTACAGGCACTCAGAGGGAACTTTGGTTCTTCTGAGCCCAGCTTCACACGCACTACTGTTGGGAAGTTAAAATGCTGACTTTAGAGCTTCAAATGAAACAGTGTTGAAACACATTAACCTCAAATTAGGACCATTTTAACTTGACTTCTGACAGCAAACTTTTAGACACTTTCATTTAGGCAGAGTGGATTTTTCTTGCTAGTAAGTGAGGAAAGTGTTCATTCATTCGCTGAAGCTCAGAACTTGTCTTGAACTTGTCTTGTGTCTTCACACACATATGAGCTTGACTGATAACACACTCTTAATCCATAGGGTTTAACGTCGTGTCGGCTCACCCTGTGCAGCTATAGAATCTTTAACTGTTCTGGGATGTTTGGAGAAAAATGTTTGGAGAAGCAATCTGCATGTCTAAGTGCTTGATTGGAAGTGATTGGAACACCTGAATTCAATGATTTGGATGAATGTTCCACCATCTTCCACCTCACCGTGACACAAAGTCTGTGTAGTGTCTGTTCAGTGCGTTTACAACGAGCGAGCATGTGGCCTCCTCCTGCACGCTCTCTGTTACTGAGACCAAACAGAGTGTTTCCAGTAGTGAGATTGTGCTGCGTGCTACACGTGCAAGAGAATCACTATGGACAGCGTCCAGGCTCGAATCGCTCAACATTGACCAGATTTCAAGTGTTGAAAACAGCCACTGAAAGTAATTTAGAATTTTACCACTTTACTGAGAGCATGCTGGTTCAGGTGTGTGTGTGT